GAATTTATAGATAATCTTTTCTGTATAGGGAGAAGGGCTGTTATGTGGGCCATCTGGATGAGAAGATGCACTTATGAATGGGAGGGGGCTAGACTGGATGGACCAGACTTTACGGAAACAATCAAACAACAAATTGAAACAGATATTCTTACAAGATGGTCTTTAACAAAGGAAAAAGTTAAATTTCTATCCAATAAAACAGAAATACAGTCACACTTTCAAAAATTTAGTCATAACTGGCTGGGCGGAAACCAGGGTGGGAGACTGAGGAAAGTCGTTTGGAATGGAGCAGAGGATAATGATGAGATAAAGTTCCAAAGAGACTACAAATTATTATTTTATGACTGGACTACTATTGATGCTGCAGTACCAATGCGCCCTCTCTCAGAATTCCCAGATCCCTTCCCCCCCTCAGCATCAGCCATTGTTCCTATCTCATGGTATGGAATATAATTTTATTTTTTTTTCTCAGCAAGACTTCCTGTTCTTTTGGAATAGCGCAGCTAGGAAAAATAGATAAATTTGGCGCCCTTAGGAAAAGGGTGAAGAGGCAGCGTTTTTTTTTCCTGAATCGAGATGGTTCCTTTCCTGCTCAGTCAATCCCCTGTGTTTCAGGGTAATCAATGCTGGCAGGATCCTCATATTGGTTGTTCTGAAAGATTCTGAAGTATTCCAATGTATCATAGGGACGCTGGACCCATTTTCCAGCAGGTGCTGCTCCCCACTAATAGATGGAGCCTATTCCCTGGTGCTAGTGGTGCATGCTCATATCAGCATCACTAGCACTAGAGGGATTGTTTTTTGAAAAAAAAAAAAAAAAAGACTGTTAAGTCATCCGCAAATAGCATTGCCGTGGGTAAGTGCACTCGTCTATTGTGAATGTCGTTCACGGCTTGTAGCCTTTCTATTGAGGGGTCCTTCCTGAGGAATGTTGCGATGGCTTGCATTACAAATAAGAATATCAGTGCTGCTAAGGGGTCTCCCAGTCTAACTGATCTTGACATTTTGTATGTGTCCGATAGGAATCCGTTTTTTTCCCCTCTTGCATCCGCATATAGGACTTTGACCCACTTTCTGAACACTGGTCCTACCCTCATTTTTTCCATACACGTCTGTAAAAAATTCCAATTTACCTGATCATATGCTTTTCCAAGGTTGAAGAATAGTATTGTTGCTTGTATCTTCTTGTCTCTTATTAATTTGGTCGCTTCATTAAGGCAGACTACATTGTCTAAGATGTATCGGCCCGGAATGAAGCATGTTTGGCCTAAGTGGAAACATTTATCTGTCACGTTTCTTATTCTATTTGCAAGTGTTTTTGCTAATATCTTGTAGGCTATTGGTAGGAGAGTGATTGTCTGTAGTTTCTTATATCTTCCTTTTCTCCTTTTTTGTACAGGAGTGTCACTACTCCCGTGCTGATATCTTATCCTAATCTTCCCTTCCTATAGGCCTCCTGGAAGAAGCGGAAGAGATTTTTTCCTAGTACTGGCCATGTTCTCTTCCTAGTATGGTGGTGCATCTTTCCGTGTTCCAGCAGAAGATTCATTATCTTCTTGTAGATTTCGCGAGTGGTGTGGCGAGCCCCATTATCGCAGCATGTATGTTGTTTTGGGGACCTTTTGCGAGTATAAGTTTTTTTTCATCTTTGTTAGAAATTGTTGCAGTTATCTGTCATGAAATGAACCTTACAATTCCAGTCCAACTCACAACATGTATGCAGAGAACACTCAGATGAACGTTCACACCACACCGAGAGATGAAACAAGAACCAGCCAGCGTCTGAAGACTTTCCACTAGAAAATATGATATACTTTATAGCCTTTGATGTAGGTGATTTGATATTTTTCCATCCCCACCCCCGTGTAGGACCTAAGGAGGTTGGCGTACGTCTTCCTCCATTCGAAATGACCCTCTGAATCATGACATTCCCCTACTATGAGGCCACAAACTTCCTCATTGTTCGGGACACACAATATGTCGTCCTTGTTGGGTC